CAGCTAAAAAGAAACAAAACTTTGCTAGCTCACAGGGAAAAATCTTAAAATTTTAAGGCATTTTTCCTCAAAATCAGGTTTTCTGTTGCTGCTGAAAAACGTGCTTCAAAATTGTGTTTTATGATTATATTTTAGACAGTTCATTTAAATGATACATTAAGGCTTTTATTCATTATATTTTGACAAAATGCCATTTTTGCACACGTTTTAATCAAAACACTATATTTGGCTATTTCTCCATTTGGACTTAATCCTTGTTTTGATGTGATGGGTCACATTTAAGTTTATCAAATAAAGTCTAATGTTACAGGTAATCGGGGATCCCTTTAAAGATAATTTATTGTCATTTTAACCCCTAAATGCCATGGGAATATATATTTTTATTAAGTTTATTATGTTTGTTTTATTAGTTCATTGTTCTCCATGCATTAAAAAAATATTTTAGTAAAATTTTTTGAGGACCCCCAAGATGCCTCTTGTGGACCCGTGGGGGTCCAGGGACCCCAGTTTGAGAACCTCTGCAGTATGTGGCCACATTAAAAACTGCACCGTCTCTTTCTGTCTTGACAGCTGTAGATCTGTGAGCTCCCCTCGCTCTTTTTCCTGGGACTTGTAGTTTTTAACCTGGGGAACAGGCCCGTGTGTTGGAGGTCACAGCGGGAGGAGAACTACAGTTCCCTCTGAGCTCCTCGGACATGTTGGTTGTCAGTATGGCTGTTGTCAGACAGACAAAGCGGAGAGGCAAATAATTCGCCTCTGATTAGAAATCCTTGGGAAAGGGTCGCGCGGGGCACCGACTCTCATTTATTCGCACTGTACCGCCCCGGCTGCACCGAACCACACAGCGGCTCTTTGCTTTAGTTTTCAAGTTAAATGGTTAAAGTGGACGTTTTGAACCGAGGTAAGTCATGTATTTATCATTTCTACAACACCCAAAGTGCTGTTATTAATATGAAACGTGTTAGCCTTGAGCGGCGAGGCTAACAGCTAAGTGTCAGCGTTATGCTAATCAGTCCGGAGCCTCGGTGAGACGGAGGTATCCCGGGTTAAGTTGCTAACCTGTGCCTGAGGACCGCTGTCAGGATAAATTCACAAACTGCTCTGTGTTTGAGAGGGCGGTCAGGTGGCGGACTTATTTAATGTCAGACAGCTTCATCTGCCACAGAAACATTTTTTTTTTTTTGCTAACGTTAGCTTATTGGGTAAAAGGGCGTGAAAGCTGGCATCTCCAGCGGCAGGACTGAGTTAGCATTAGCAAAACAAAAACACATGTAGGGACAGACACCCCGAACCACCATGGTCCCGGCTTTAGAACTGGGACTGGTACCAAACAAACATTTTACTCATAAGAAAAGCTGTAATTGAACTGATCAGCTGCAACATGAGGTTTCTTCCTGCAGATTCAAATGCTTATCGCCCGCCCGCCGTCTTTTGATGCCACACTTTTAAACTCATCTTGTGTTAAGAAATAAACGAGTTAGAAAGTGACAACAACGTTATGCACGTCATGTAGCTCAGAGTACGTGTTGGGAACGACTCTCAGCTACTACCAAAGATCTGTAAAATTAAGAGTTGTAGCCTCAGTTGTGCAGGCAAATGTCGATTAACTGGCAGTAATCTTGAACTAAGTTAACTCAAATAATGTACAAGTTGTAGTGATAAATCTAATAATTGCTTTCTGAAAGTTTCATCAAAATCCATTCATAGGGCTGCCACAAACGATTATTTTTATAATCGATTAATCACCGATTATTTTTTCRATTAGTTGACTAATCAGATCATACGTTAATTGAATATAAAACATACAGCTTAGCTGCTATTATATAACCATGGTTATATAATAGCTATATGCTAACTAAAAATAATTGCTGTGGAAGGTAAGTTCTGCTCTGCAGATATTACACAGGTTTCTCTTTCATTTTCTTAAAATGATCCCACACTTTGAGCTCYGTTGTCAGGTAGCCATGATACCAGAGCCTGTCTGTATAATGTGTTGTGACGTCCACGGCCTACCCCAGTTACCACTACTGTGMATGTGTGTCAAGGACAGAAAGGCAGATGTGGCAGTGGAAGGTGTCAAAGCAGTTTGGAGAKAWAAACTAAGTAAAGAACAAAAAAGAAAAGAAAACGATTAATCGATTATTTTAATAATCGATTAATCGTTGCAGCCCTAAATGGTTCATGAAATATCAGATTTGACTTCAAATATAAAATGACAACATTATAAACAAAGGTCTTGAACAATCTGTCAGCACTCGGAACATGTTTTTGGATCAGTCTCAACTATTACCACACCTCATTTTAGCTCATTATCTGATAGGGCTGCCACGATTAGTCGATGACTAATCGATTATTAAAATAATCGATGACTAATTTAATAATCGATTAATCGTCTTTTGGTTTTTTTTTTTTTTGTTCTTTACTTTGTTTTTCTCTCCAAACTGCTTTGACACCTTCCACTGCCACGTCTGCCTTTCTGTCCTTGACACACATGCACAGTAGTGGTAACTGGGGTAGGCCGTGGACGTCACAAGACATTATACAGACAGGCTCTGGTATCATGGCTACCTGACAACAGAGCTCAAAGTGTGGGATCATTTTAAGAAAATGAAAGAGAAACCTGTGTAATATCTGCAGAGCAGAACTTACCTTCCACGGCAATTATTTTTAGTTAGCATATAGCTAAAATCTAACCATGGTTACATAATAGCAGCTGCATTCTGGCGCGATAAGCTGTATGTTTTATATTCAATTAACGTATGATCTGATTAGTCGACTAATCGATAAAAATAATCGGTGATTAATCGGCTAAAAAAATAATCGTTCGTGGCAGCTCTATTATCTGGCAATTTGACAAAGTTTCATTTCTGTGTTTCTGAGGTTTGGCTGTGGTCATCTTGAACTGGTTTGACACCAAAAACATTGTATCTGTGATTATTTTCTGCAAATTAACAGGTAGCAAAGTCCCTAATGTCTGCCTTCACATTTTGGTGTCAGGTGAAAAACCAGCCTGGGTCAAGGTGAACAGTTAATTTGGTTAATACTTAATTTGGTTAATACTTAATCTGGATGAATAATCAATTGAAGGCTCAGTTTTGATTGCAAGACACGTTCACTTATTGAATGCAGCTAATAAACACACATTAATGCACACGTTAAAGAGAATTGACCAGTTCTGCTTTGAACGAACAGTGACTTATTATGAATTTTGTTTACGCCACAACCTAAGAGACTAGTTAATATTCAGCAGTGCCTCTCAGCTGCACAATAACTGTTTTCCAGTGAATTTAATCTGCGTACATGTCTGCAAGGCTGATACTTCCTTTTTTTAATATCAGTTCTCCTAAGGCTTGTATAAGCCACAGTGTTATTATCTAGTTTCCTTCAGGGGAACTTTAAATGTCTGCACAAACTCCTAAAGGCGGTTTTGTTTTTAATTTCTTTCTGTCCTTCACACATTGTAGAGTAACGCAGATGTAGCGGAGAAATGCCAGTGACCCCTTTTAAAGCGTTTTATCATATCAGCATAGGTTGGGCTGGCACGCACAAAATGGAAAATCTGCCGCAGTCTGATTCCAGCGGCATTGATTTTGAGCCCAGCAAATTGCTTATGAAAAACATGGAGCGTGGGTGGCGCGCAGCGCGGGGATTATACAGTCGCTCTTAAAGAACAGACAGTCAGGATGTTAAGATAGCATCAGCTGTCAAGGTGACTCTGGCACTCTGCGCGTGTTGCCTGCTGCTTCCCAAAAATAGCTGATTTTTTTATGTCCCTGCCCCTCCCTTTCCTTTTTTCTTTCACACGTCTTGCGCTCGTCTTTCTAACTGCTGCCCCCCCCCCCTATACTTTCGCCATTTCCTTCATCTTTATACACAACTCCTGTCTAATTCTACTCATTTTCATTGTGCCTCCACTCATCTGCCTCGTTTGTTCCTGACTTTTTCTCAGGTTTGCATCCTTCTTCTCTAAACTTCTGCATTTCCTGTTTCCCTTCCTTTAGTTTTACTTGTTTCTCTTCCTCAACTTGTCTGTTTTTGTGTGTTTTTGTGTGTGTTTTGCCCAGCAGCAGGATGTCTGAGTTAAGCGAGGAGCCGCGCTTCACCATCGAGCAGATAGATCTGCTGCAGCGGCTGCGTCGCACCGGCATGACCAAGCAGGAGATCCTGCACGCGCTCGACACGCTGGACCGGCTGGACCGGGAGCACGGCGACAAGTTCGGCCGCCGCACCTCTTCCTCCTCCTCCTCGTCCTCCTACCTCGTAGGCGGGGCGAACAGCTGCACCAACAACTCTGCCTCTAACCCGACCGCCACATTCAACAGCAACGCCACCGCCTCGGCAGCCACCGCCTCTTCCGCCTCGTGCAACGGCAGCAACAGCGGTGAAGGCAGCGCCGGCGATCACTCCGCCTCTTCCACGACCTCTAAAATCTCCACAGCCACGCAGACACAGTTTAGCACCGGCGGCGGGCTTTCGCCCTCTCCCAGCAACAGCTATGACACCTCCCCGCCTCCCGGGCCGCCGCCACCCTCTGCCATCCTGCCGTCACCGGTGTCCCTGGTGGCRCTGTCTCAGAACGGCCGTGACAGTCTGGCTGCTACGCCCAACGGGAAGCTGTCGCCTCCACGGTACCCGGTGAACAGCGCCGCGGCGTCGCGAGCGTTCGGGTTCGAAGCTGCAGAAGAAGACCTGGATATCGATGATAAAGTGGAGGAGCTGATGAGGTGAGTAGCAGCCGACTTGAAGACGTCTTTACTTTGCAAATGACAAACTTTTTTTTGGACCTTTTAGAACTTGTCACACTTTAAGTTGTTCGTCAGCCGGCAGCAGAAATCTTCAGAGATTTTCACCCTTTTTAATATTTTCATTCATTTCTCCGTCCTTGACTGGTTTCAAAGCCTTCGTTCTCTTTGGAACTGTAGTGCTTTTATGTTTTTGAAGCACAGGCGTTAAAGGTGCCTCTTGAGAGCAACCTTGAAGCTTTTTTTCCCCCTTCTGTGCTTTCTCTCAGACATGTGCTTTTTTGTTTTGAATAGCTTTGAGTTGGCAGATTGTTTTTATTGGTGGTTATGTTCATAATGAAATATGTGCCAGGGCTGAAAAGGCACTAAGTGCAACTGAAGCTCGACTGTGTGCAGCAGCAGTTTGTTTTAAAGTTTATTCTTGACCTTGGAAATGCATGTTGAGATAATATAACTTCAAAACCAGTTTAGTTTTATGTAAGCTTTGTCAGTGGATGGTGTTCTGTTGATTTTAAAGAGACATTTACTTGGAAACAGAGGCTGAATGTGCGCTTTCTGTATTTGTGCAGAAACTTTAGTTTGTTTTGTAGACGTTGGACAACCACAGACATTACTGCTCTGCAGTTTGATAACCTATTTGTGTTCCTTGCTGAACTTGGATAAAAGCTGTTTGGTGTTGGATGTACAGAAATGCAGTAATTCAGTCATTTTATTTCAGTTCTATTGGCTGATAGAGGTGACTTGTTGCTTGGGAGGGGTTACCTTCAGCGTAGATTTCTGCTGCATTAGCTCTTTGAATATTGACATCTTGAGACAACATCAATAATCAAATGCATCCCATGCTTCAAATGCTTACATTTTACAGTAGGCTGCAAAAGTACTCACTCCCTTGTTGTGTATTTATTTTCTGTTTTACAACTTGGACTTTAAATAGATTTTCAACTCGATCCTAAGAAATGGACTAAAGTTGTGGACAAGTTAAAATAAAATCCCAAACTTTAAACACCTCATAAGCACCAACAAATGACTGGATCAAAATGATAATTATTCTAAACTATATCTTGGTTTAATTTTTATTGTATTTACATCATAACTAAACCATCATAACTAACAAAACTAAATCAAATACACTTACAGTTTAAAAGTAAAACTCCTGTTAAATATTCACAAGACATGATTATGACAAACGTTTACAAATGTTTCAAATAAAAAAATATGTAAAAATAAATATGATAAAGTACAAATGAAAATATAGCCTTTTTAAACTTTTACAACCAGAAGCTGCTCTTCATATTAGTGACAAACTTTGGTGATTTTTGATGAGTTACCTTCATTTTTGCTTCTACTTTTCATTTAAAATAGGTTTCCATTCTCTGCAGGTTTCTAAAGTTCTTCTTCTACGTATTAAAAAAAGTTGTTAAACATCTGAGTGGTGCACTACTGCTACTAGTGGTGAGAAAGTGTATTGCACCTTATTCAAAATCAAAGCTGTCCCGCGGCCCTCTGCGGCCCAAAGTTAAAAACTGTTGTTCTTTTGAGGCCCTCAAGGTGGCRCTCGCGGCCCACAATTGGGCTGTGGCCCACAGGTTAAGAATCCCTGTGCTAAGAGAGGATCTCTTCTGCAGAGATGTAAGGATCTGTTCGTAGGATCTCTATAAGCTTTACAAGCTGGACTTCATGAAAGGTTGAACAGAAAAAAGACATTGATCATAAAAAAAATAAGACAGACTGTTTGGAATTAGTCAAAAAGCATATTATAAACAGGCAGAGGCGGTTCTAGAGCGGGGCCACAGTGGCCTGTCCTGCCACTCATCTGTCCTTTGCCCAAGAGCGAAGATGCTGAGTGCAGTTCCATGTCCAAACACTAGAGGCGATAATGAGCCCAATAGAAAAGTCCAGCATGAGTAAAGCTGACAGAAGTATTTTTCTTTTCTGAAAATTTAAAAAATCCTGCAGAAAAAGTCTTTCAACTCTCAAATGATGGCTGGGCTCACTTACATGCTGTATGTTTGAGCATATTTTATCTATGTAATGTAAAAATGCATGCGAAATTGGTATAGTAGAAAGTACTTTGCAACTTTTTAAAAATTACATGTGTTTAAACGTTACGTTAAACCTTGCCAAAACCAGGGATTTGTGAGCAAGGATGCTGAACAAATACGTGGCTCCTCTATGAATATTGTGGCCCCTGATGGCCCCTTACACAGAAAAATCCCAGATCCGCCACTGTAAACAGGGAAGAATCTGCTGAAGTCAAATAAGACTACAATATACTTTGTGCATTAAGGACAAATCTATGTCTGATACTAATTCAGCACAATAACAATAATAAATGTATTTAATGTGTAATATTTCTCATTAACAGAAATCTCAAAGTGCTACAAAACAACAAAACACAATAAATAAAACTAGTAAAAAGAAAAACAAAATTACACTAATAAAAACAACAGCCGGAGCTAGGAAGAAGTTAAATTTTAAGCCGTGTTAAAAACATCTAATAAATTTTAAAATAATAATAAACAAATATATCAATGATGCCCTTTAAGATAGGGTTGGGAAAATTGTATCATTTGCAATTAATGATCCAAAAAACTGTCAATAATTAATATTTGCCACTTTGCAGTTACTGCAATGACTCCCTTGTGATAATGTGTTGCACATATTTTTTGTGCGACACACTATCACTATTAGACATGCTTTTGAGCCCAAATGGTGGAAGGCTGTGTGGAGCAACTAACATTAACATTAACCTTAAACAAACCTCATCGCAAATGCAGACCAAGGCCACAAAGTAATTGTCATCTACCACTTGCCATTTTTATCTATATAAATGCCACAATTCATTTTTTCAATTTTTATGTCAATATTGCCCATTCCTACCTGAAAAGGGGCTAGAATAAGCTTGCTTAAATAGAAAAGTCTTTAAACCCTGTTTAAAGACAACCAGTGATTGTGGATGGTCCGGGAGGGGAGTTCCAGAGTCCGGAGGCAACTACACAGAATGCCCAATCTCCCATGGTCCTTAGTTTAGTTTGAGGGAGCTAATCATCACACAGAGAACAACGTCCCTACAGTAGTAGCAGCATCGTGCTGTGTATATTTCATTTATCAGAAGTCACTTGGAACTGGTCAGTTAAAGAAAGATAAATGGAGCAAAATCTATATAAATTGGTGAAGGAAACCTGTTTGAGTCTTTCAGAGATTTGAGCCTGAAACATGGGTTGACTTTTCAGCAGTACAATGACTAAACACTTTGCTGAAGCAACTCTCCAATGAGAACCAGTTAAATGTTCTGGAATTTCCAGGGCGGTCCAGGGCCCGTATTCGTAAAACTTCTTAGAGTGGATTTTTAGACTTAAGTGCTGAAAGTTTCTTAGATTTGCTCCTACTCTCAGACTTAAGTGTAAGTGCCAGTTATGAAAATTCTTAAGTCAAGAAACCCTCTTCAGACTGCTCCAGAGGACTCAAGTGGTTCAGAGTTGTCACTAGAGGTCTGAGATGAACTGAGGAG